CACACAACAATAAAAGGTAAGCACCATGTGAAATGTTAACAGAACTGCTGTAAATAACAAGAACCGCACTCAGTGAGAGCCTGCCTAAGACTGACTTCAACTCAGAACTATCCCCTCTGACTTCAATTTTTGAAACGCAGACAGACTTCTCCTTTTTACTTCATTTCCCTCTTCTTCTTCCTGTTGCTCTCTCTATAACGGCTTGCCGCTACTCTCACAAGAGCAAGCATAGATCCCGCAAAATCATACGATTTTGCCTATGCTTGCAAGAGCAAAAGAAAAAAAAAAGGAGTACCGCAAAATCATACGATTCTGCCTGTACTTGCAAAAGCAAGCAAAGGTACCGCAAAATCATACGATTTTGCCTGTACTTGCAAAAGCAAGCAAAGGTACCGCAAAATCATACGATTTTGCCTGTACTTGTAAGTAAGGAGATCAAAAAAGAAAAAAAATAAACACATATACCGCAAGATCATGCGATTTACTTGCGGTACCACAAAATCGCATGATTTTGTCTAACGGCATGCCGTTATTGCGCCGCTTGCGGTTGACACAGACCGACAGACACCCTACCCAAGGTTTGTTCGCGGCCGTTACAATTGATTAACTACTTTAGAGATGCTGTACGCAAACAATAGCAGCATTGGCTGACAACACAACCGACAGACGACGAACATAATTTCTTTTCTGCTCGTTTATTACTTTCAAATTTTATGTATTTATTCACTTATATACAAACTTATTAGTTATATATCAAAATTCAACTGATATCAAAACAAGGAAAAGAAAAACATTCTCGACGGATTCTCACCTTGTCGCGATGAGAACGCTTAGTAAGTGCAAGGACCCCAAGAGCGCCTATTTTTGGATCCTACCCTATGTAAATGATTAAACTTACACTATATAAGGTTGCTTTTGGGCCCTTTCCCCCATAAATACGCGCATGACAAATATGCCTTTATTTCTATTACATTCTCCAGCTGTTTTCCTTTCGAATTCAACTGGGACGCATTACTTCTATACATTATGCAGCCGTTTTCTTTGGACCAGCTGGGGACATTTTTGAACCCCTTCTTATATAACGAGAAATGAATTTCATATGATAAAAAGATATAATTTTCAATGCTTTACGTTGAAATTTAACATAGGAAAATTAGTTATACCAAATTTGGACCGTCTCAGCCTTTTTTTCGCTCCTAGTTTGATAAGAATTTTCACAAAATTGATCCTTTGTAGCGCAGAAAAGCCTATGTTTTAATATGTGGTGGTGGAAGTTAACCCATAATATGATAGCCATTTCATACAAATATTAATCCTACAAAATTTGGACCATCTATGCCTAGCGACGTCAGGGATAGCGTAGCTATTGGTACGCTCGCCAATTCCGGTGAGGTAATGAGGCGACAGCGGAGTAAACGATGTTTTCTGAAACTCGCGAACTCAATTTCCGGTGATGTGAGTGTGCTAAGAATTACCGGATGTAAAACCAAACATGTGCCAAATATAATCACGTGGAACTTTCGAAGCTTACATGAAGCAGGAAAATTTCATAACACAGCCCTATTGCACTGTTCTTGTAATAATACAATATAATACGTGACCAACGCACCTCTTTAGCTAATCATGCGGTACCTTGCAGGTCACTGCTTCATCAATGGTTTGTTTATTGATTTATCAAAGAGAAGAACAAGCTGTTATTTTTTTACATTTTCACAGTCACAAAAAAATGTAAACTAAAATTTCTTTCTTTTTCTAATTTTCGCGTGAATGATAGCAACGAAACTGATGCGTATATCTTACGTAAATGCAGAAAAAACGTTTATCATTTATAAGTTTCGGAAAAATTAACTTTCAGATACGTGATTACTCTGGTGTATTAAAAGCCGAAAAAGTTGACTGTAAATTTAAATATTTATTGCAATGAATTAATTTAGATTGATAAGGAAATTTTGGAACACAGCCATTAAAAATTTTAAATTCAAAAACGTGGCAATTAGTAAATCTATGCTAAAATGGAAATAAGCTTCTACGTTGTAAGTGTGGAAAGTAGAGATGGTTAAAGCGAACTTGATGATTCTCGTTAACGATAATTGTGTTGATGGTACTCGACACCTTATACAAGATTTTGCTCGATATCGTGTGTAAAATGTCGTATTTTTGAAATGTTCTTCCTTGTAACATGCAATATTTTTGTATCTAGTCACTCTGCTACAAAAAAATCAATTAACTTTGCAGTTCATAAACCCTACATTTTACGTGGCGAGGAATTCAGTTTTTTGAATTATTCGTTTTGAATACTACAAAAGAGTGATTTACTTAATTTACAATTTATTAAGCTTTGGCTAACGTTTTTTTTCTATTGACTTTAACTTTTTTACCAAATTCCTTTTCAAGTGCAGATTTATTTATTAATTTATTTTCCTCCTCTTCTTTGCATTATTATGCTATATACACATCGATGATATCACCAATACTCCCTAGTAACTGCGAATATGAATAAGTAAAGTATAGAATAGGAGTAAAAGTAAGGACGGTTTGTGAGGTGGATCAGCGCAGGGTACATACAATGATACGTTACTATACTTTATCGTAAAGTAAAGTAAGTGTTCTAAAGTAGTTGTGTTGCATTACATCTTGGAATAAATTTTAAAATTCTCTTGGCACGCTTAACAAACGCATTTCATTGTATTTCCTTGGTATTACTTCCGGTAATGGGTTATGGATCGATAATTCAGGACATAAGATATAGTTTGCTCCACAAGAACTCGGAAGAAAAGATTGTTTAGCGTAATTTGACTTTAGGTAAAATTTTTTGCGAGAATTAGGAATTAATCACCAACCGAAGAATAAGTCCAATGCTTTGTTTAAAAGACGAGAATCTCTACTGGCTGTGCCAACATTAGTAAACGCCGGATTTTCGCATTGTGCGTTTTTGCAAGCCTCAGCCAAAGATTGCATTTCCATAGATTCTGTAGTATTCTCATATATGTTCTCTTTGCCGACGACATTCTCATTCTTGCACTCCGTTACACCAATCATTAAGTTATTAGCGAATATTATCCCATTATAAGCAAGCGCTTTCTCACATTCTAGTTGAGACGAATACTTCAAATGTATCCAGTTACTGTAAGATGAAGGGAGCACATTATCGACTATAGTCCCGCATTGCGCAAAGTGGTGCAATATTAATGAAACAGCTGTGGCGGGAAATCCATATACGGTAACCCACAATCGCCTGCAATGTGGGGAAACGTTTAAATCTGTGGTATAAGCTCTAGTTGGAGGCCTGCGGTTTTTTGATGATAAATTGAATGAGTCATTGTAAGCGCGCTTCAGTTTAACTATTTCATTGTTATCATTAAGCAACGCATCAAAAAGCCCCTGTGCATGAGGTCCACCTATGTTATGATTCTTTTCAGGTTCAATATGATTATGGAAATTTTGCTGTGAACGCATAGTTTGTTTACAGTCGGATGTTGTTTTTGTTTCTAATATCGACTTATAGTCTTGACCTGATTCGTTGCTGGTGGCTCTATTTCTATCTCTTGTATCGGACAAGCCACATGAAACATTACTACCTGTATTCTTGATCGGTGGACGAGTGTTACGAGATGTTTCCGAATTTTTCTGTTCGCCCTTTAAAAAATTGGGAAAACAAAAATTTGATGGCAGACTGGTTCGAATGTTTTCCAAATTTATTTGTTTCATGTTTTTTGTTGTAATAATTCCACTTATTTTTATTGCGTGGGTTATATGTGCAGTAAGCAGCTTTGTCGGCTATAATGATGATGTAGGCGTTGTAAACTTCTAATTTATTAAACGGGATAAGGTTTAGATGCCAAAACTGTGGAACTCGTAATTATAGTTGAGTTATTTGTGGAATGTCAAACTTATGAAACTTTTGAAAAAATGTGTTAACGTAAATAAAAAAAAAGGTGGGAAAAAACGAACAAGTAAATTCTGACTAACAGGAAAATGAACAGTCTTCAATTTACCAGATACCTTTGTGAAAAATTATGTTAGGAAGATGTTAATAAATTTGTGCGGTGCAATTTTAGTTACAAAACATTTCAATTGATATTAATGAAGTTTTTCGTAAATGCATTTTGACTTCATTGAATTGCAATGATCGGAGGAAACCTTCAATATCAACATCAAATTTTAAATCGATTTGAGCATGTCCGCCCGTCCATTTGAACGTCTGTCCAAAATGGCCCAAATCCGTCAAAGGACGGAGCTAAGATGTTGCTTTCCGTGTTTTTGGCTCTATATTCATAAACTACAACAAATACCGATATAAATATCCGCTTTTGTTCTGCAGGAATAAAGAAAGTCAATAACCTCCACCCAATATTGTACAGCACGATAATTAATATATAACTCTTTTTAGCCTTTTTTGGCATAATGATGATGGGTAATTTGTTTCTATTCATTTATACATGTAACGAAATCCAAGCGAATAAATGTTAACGTTTAGAATATTTGTATATAGCTCGACGAAATGTGTTTGAACGTGATTTCGACGGTAAAACCACCACACCAGATCCATGCGGGACAATCCAAATCCACACGTACCAGGAGAAGAGTAAGTATTAAAGTATTACTATGATTATAAATGCAGTATGGCCTTTAAACACGCATATAACGCAATTCCAGGTCAGAGTTTGACGGTGAAAATTTTGTTCGCTTTACCGGAGACACAGCAAAACACGCTGGTGCTCAATCGTTCGCTTGGGAGGCTCATGGTAAGGGGGTCGATGTTCATTTATTGGCTGAGTCTACTAAGCTGGAGCTGTCACAAAAGGAATACGAGAAAAAGAAGGAACATTTCAAATCAAGTGTAAGAATCGAAGGTCAATTTAGTTTAGTCATTCACAACATATTGTGGAAAAGTATGGCGGTGATGAATAAAAAATATGCATTCATCTCCCCTTGTACGTCTCCTGAATAGTTTTATACAATTTTTATAGGCGTGGCATTCGATTTTCCCCTTTTTTGAAAAATTTGATGTTAATTCAATTGGTAATGCAATTCTGTGTCGGCGCCAGTAGTCTATCGTTGCAATGCAAATTACAATGCGATAATGTTGTCCAGCTTGTAAATTTTTGCGGTAATATTATCGCCGCAAGCGATGAATCTTTCGAAGAGGACCTATGGCGTAGACGTGAATGGCAAAGCAAGATAGCAGCAAATTTGGAAGTTTATATATATAAAAAAAAAGAAAAAAAAAAACTATATAATTATTTCCAGATACTCTCGCTGTACGCTTTCATACTGACAGCGCTTTACGAAAAACTACAGACTTTGAGTAAAATTAAACCGAAAAAGAAATCAAATTCCGAGACTGAATTAGTGATTAGCGAAAAGGAATGCTGCCAAATGCTTATAGAATTAATGAGACTTTTGAAAAGAGAATTCCAACGCTGTGATAAACTAATAAGTAAGTATTTTATCAATAACAATAAGCGAAAACATTGACTGATTCCTGGAATCGAAGCATCAAGGTCCCGGAATAATTAATTAAACTTTCAACTTATCTATTTTCAATCTCAGTAACCATTCTAAGCTATACATTTTTTTTAAATAACGCTTACCAAAATTTTCCAAACAGTTCTGCTTAAGTGGCGAGTTTCCAATTTTCTGCCGCCCTCAATCCAGGCAAATTTTAAATGAACGCTAAACTATATTGATAGTCTCACAATTTGTGTCCAGTTTGGCCAAAGATATCTAGGACTTTTGCGCCAAAGTACAGATTGCCCTGCATCTGAGAGTAGCATACCCAGTTAACCACAGTTGTTCTACATCAATTTGTTTTTCCTTTGACAAGATTAATAAGAAAATGCGCTACCTTTTCGAATGTTTTGTGCTAGACATATTAGCATTATTAAGTTTTGCGAGCTTGTCATGAAACTCTTGAATTTTTTCTTTTCCTCGCCGCCGAGGATTCAAAAATTTTTCTTTAGACAAAGAAAAAAAAATAAATAAAATAAAAATAAAATAAAATGAATGATATAATAAAAAAACAAACTAAATGAACGAAAAGGTCTGGTCAGTTTCCGGCTGTGCGTCTGTCGCCAGTGGGTCAGTCGGTCATCGTCTAGCGTCGGCCCTACATGGCCACCATGTGCACGCCCCTACACCTCAGCCACAGCGGTGGCAGCGCACGCTTAGCCACACATGGGTAACAACAAAATCGGATAACTTAAAGGAAAAGATAACATAACTTACAGTACAAGCAAGGTGGTAGTGTTCGTTTCTTGGTGAGTATCACTGCTTTCACTGTCGGCTGCAGCTATCCCAGTGCTCCCGATAAGTTGTTGCTGTTGTTGTTGCTTCTGCCTTCAATTTTATTACCTCCCTCTGATTCGTTGCTGGGGGTGTAACAAGGTGATGGTGACTGCTTCACTGGAAGCGGCGATAAATCCTCAGGACTTTGTTGTAATAAACCAATTAAAAGCCCTTTTTTGTTTTTCGCATTCAGGCATATATTTATTATTCCTCTTTTTTTTTTCAAATATCTTATGCTGCTTCACTGGCTTATTAACTATAAATTTTGTTGTTAACATTAATAAATGGAGTCTAATTATATGTGTAAGTGTTCATTGTGTGTCAAGGGTTTTTTTTTTTTCCCCCTTTTTTTTTTTTATATATTCCCAGCATCACATGGGTTTACGTGTATTATTTGCACAGGCTCTCGCGATAAGCATCCCTAATTAACTTTATATGCGACGGCTGTACCCGTTCTATATGAAAAAAAAATAACGTTCTACATATGCTGTTCTTTGCTTTTCGATAATTTTCTTCCACAATAAGCGCGAACTGAGGCAAAAATGAATCATTTAGTTATTTTAATTAAATCGAAGAATTATGCCAACGCCTACGTGATATTAAGACCGTGTCAATCAACAAGCCCTTCATTATCAGTCCTCCTTTTTTCTTTTCAATAATTAGAATGGCCTCTTTTATAATGTTAATCAAAATCACTGTATTTTCTACATATGCTGTTCTTTGCTTTTCGATAATTTCTGAGGCAAAAATGAATCATTTAGTTATTTTAATTAAATCGAAGAATTATGCCAACACCTATGTGATATTAAGACCGTGTCAATCAACAAGCCCTTCATTATCAGTCCTTTTTTTTTTCTTTAACAAAATGTGTCGTTTTCGTTCTGTTTTTGTTTTCGATGACGTTTTCTCCTTATAATTAATCAAACTTTCTTTGGTGCAGAATAAATTTAAAAGTGCAAAATCTTTGCAATTTTCTTAAGGAACACTTGTTTATTTATTT